AGACCCTCACAAACTTTCATGGCAAGCAGGTGAAAGCAGTTAGAGAATTAATCAGGCAGGTTAAACTGCTGCTGTGTGTTTTACTTGAGTTGTAATCCTTCCCTAAATCCCTCCTGTCTCAAGCATTTCATATCAAACTCCAGTCTGCACTTCCTGAGCTCAGTCTCACTTTGAGAAAGGTCAAATAAGGTGACCAGGGCAGACACTGAATTTCTTTATCAACATCCTATTTTGCTACCAGGCTTGCAGTTTTGTAGCAGCACTCAGTGATTGCTGTTAAACTGCTTTGGAGAGCAGTAATTGCCTGCACCTTTTCTGTCAAGGTACATTGTGGGTCCTCAGCACAAGCTCATCCCTCATAGCCTGGAGTACAGCTACTGTCCATAAACCAGAAACTGAGCTACTGTGTCCAATGGCACCGTGTCTCATCCCTCACAGGAGGTATTAGTCATGTTCTGGACATTTTTGTATTACTTGGAGATAATTTATTTTGGTTTTCCTGTTTGATTTTGCTAAGGTTATTTCAAGACCTCTGTTTCGTTCAAGCTTATTCAGAGTTGATCTGCAGAGAAGCTTGGAGGGCCAGAGCACAGAGAACTTTAAGTCTCATAATTTTCCTCTAATAAATGAAATAACCACACTAAAGCCAAGGCTTCACTACAAACTCCTCCTTCAGCTGTGCACTCATTGATTTTGGGAGGCTCAACCCAGCCTTGGCCCCATGTGTTGTAAAAGATGCTTCTGATCAGTTGTGCTTCTGGCAGACTGTCCCCCCCAGCTACCGCTTAAATAAGGAACAGCAGCTGCACAGCATGGGCTCATGTGGATTGCCTGCAGAAATACACCTGCAGTGAGCCGAGCCCCTGCAGCAAGGGGGGAGGCAGGAGCAGGGCTACAGGAGATGGGCAGCTATGGCAGCATCAGACCAGCCTCAAGGCCCTTATGGCGTGAACCTGAAGAGTTCAAGGTGGACTTAGCAAATAAATATCATTGTTATTTCTATTTTCAAAAATCGAATAATATGAGCAATATGTTCTTTATTCTGTGAAATTGCAGATACTTCTGTTTAGTGCCATTTTGCTTACTTGGAAAGGAATCACTTCCTTTTTTCTTGGTACAGAAGAGCTTGGAAAACAATTACTACACACCCCACACCAAAACATAGGTAAAAGATTGCTGAGAAGTATGTGATCAATTCATGTGTTTTGTGAAATCAAATTTTCTTCAGATATTATTCACAAAATTTCCAGAACAAAAGGAACTGTTAACCTCAGTTTATGGTGATAGAGCATTCCTCTTCTAAAGAACTTTACCCCTGTGGCAGGTGCCTTCATGACTCTTTGTGAAAGTAAAAGCCACTGTCACTACCTGCACCACGTGGTCTGTGGCACTCAGATGCTTCTTCCAAGCTCTCAGTGTAGGCTACTTCAGAAATGCACATGTACTTTAAACTTCTGATTCCTCCCTTTTCAATACTGCTGCAATGGAGCTGAGGTCAGCAGGATGAATTCTGAAGGTTTATCCGTGAGAAGGAGAGGGAATTGGGGCCTGAGGTTGCCACCAGGCTGCTGAGAAGAGCCAAAGGCAGGAGCCAGCTGGGGAAGGGCTGCTCAGTTTGTGAGGCTGGGGCTCCATCCCAGAGTGAAGCAGAAGTAAGGGGCAACTCTCAGAACAGAAAGTGCACAAAGTAGTCGAGATTTTGCAAAGATTGAGAGGTAGATGCCAATACTGCATCTCTAAATGGTAGAAATCTTGTAACAAGCTTTAGGTCTGGGAGATTTCCACTGCTTTGGGTAAGAAGTAAGGGATCCTTCAGGCCAATGCAAAACCACAGAGATCCAAGGCTTTGAAAATTGCCAGGTTTCTCAGCTTTCTGATGAACCACATGGTACCTGATATCAGATATTTGGCCTCTTCTATAGCTACTGATACCACTGAGATTTAGAACATTCTCCTGTTCTCTCTAAGGGCTACTTCACAGAAGAGATGAAAATTTCCCCAAAAAACAACAAAACAAAGGGAAAGAAGTTTCATTTCATTATTCTCTTACCTAGTGGCTTCTTTGGGGATTTCCATTTAAAAAGAGAAATCACAATTAAATACAGTCTTCCCATCAGAAAATGATACTTCCCCAAATCACCAAATATAAAAAAAGTTGCTATGAGGAAAAGAAATTGTGAAACAATGAACCTCTTTTATTTGGCAGTGCAATGCCAAGAGGATTCTGAAGGGTTTTTTTGTACTTCATTGAATGGCCATCTCTTTACAGAACACAAGGGCTGGGCAACATCCTCTGTACCATCATTGTGATACCAGGGAAAGCCTCCTCAGATCCTGGCTGAAAAGTGGGATGGAATGAGAATGGCTCTACAAACAGCCAAGGACAAGAAGCAGTTGGCAAGGTTATTCAAAATAATAACCTTGTTGCAATTTGAAATTTAACTGAAGGAAGACTCTCCATAAAATCAGAACTCTGTATGTCGAGACAAATTCAGATTTCAGTTTACATCTGAAAGCATCAACTGTGTGGAGTCTAAGGAGTTGAAGTGAGGTGAGGAGAAGGATTTGTTCCTGCTTCTCTGAAGGCTTTGGGAGGAACCAGCTCTCAGAAAGGGACGAGCAGCTCTCCCTGGAGCACGTCACACACATCATTGCTCGTGTGTCAACCCAGACAGGAAAGAGATTTGCTGAAGTTAAAGAATAGATATTTGGAAAAACAAACCCTGCCAGTCCACAGTGGCCATCAGGCTGTTCAGCTGGGGTGTTTTACATAGTTCCAGGAGTGCAACACCCAACATCCAACTTGCATTCCACAGCAAGAGAATATCTCTGGGGGTGCTCAGAGATCTCCTACCCTGACACTTACAGAATACCAGGGGTGGGTGAAGGGCACACCATTAATCTGAGGCAATCCAGACATAACAGTTTACTTGTCAAGGAAGCTCAGGTTCTAAATTCTTTTAAAACATTTAGACATCTTTTAATTTTATTTATGGAAAAAAATTAGAAGGCAGTGTAATAATGCAGCTGAAGCTAGAGAATTAATTAATCACCAAATTAATTACCAAATCTCTGTCACACAGAAGATTTACCATCTCCCCTTGCACTAGATACAGTTCTTTGGCTTTATTAACAAGAATTCATTCAATTTCTTTTACACTTAAAATCTGGGGTACTTACCCTAAATGAGAAAGGAAGCAAAAGAGAGACCACTTCTGTACCCAGTCTCATAAGTTCTTGTCAACACAGTGCAGGATGGAGAACTGAGAGGCTTTCTACCAACTGACACGCAACCCTGACAGAATGAAGCTAAAAATAATGTGAATATCCACCATGGGAATGCAGGAGCCTCATGGCTGCTGGGATTGTTGCATGTGATGGCAGCTCTCCTGCTTTATGAATAAGAGCTGGATTTGAATTACCCTCTTCCACTTACTTTGCAACTTGCATGAAGGTGATGGAAACTGATTTAATTCTTGCTTCTACCAGGAAGCTTGTCTCCCAGTACATCCTTTGCATTAAGTTAGTGATAGATTAGAAAATGCAAGCAAGTTGGAAAAGCATGGCAGCAAAGTCTCTCTAGATAGGCTAGCTCAGTGACATTTTTGTACTATATTTTACTTTGCCTGTCCTAAAATAAATCAAATTTTATGGCACAGGACACGAGTGAAGAAGTAACATTTCTAAACCTGACATATTTTAGGATGACACAATTTGATTTTTTAAACTTTTATCCAAAGGAAATCTTGAATCATCAAAAAACTGATTCCCCACCATGAAAAATCTAAGTCCTAGGTCAAGTTCAAATAGCTAAATAAAGAAAAGGTTTCTCTACCCTGCAGCTAACCCTTGCCCTTGTATTTTTAATTGAACACCTGAAGTTGTGGCAAAAGGTTTGCTGCTCCTGCCCTCACAGGGAACATCTCCACAGCTGGGTGCTCCCAGGAGCAGGCAGGTGAGATAGAAAACTTCCCAGGGATGCAGCAGCCAGACAGGGAGCTGCCCCCCCTGCAGGAGCAGGGCTGTGCCAGATTGGGGTCTGGCCTTGAGATTAAAAAGTTTGAGAGATTCAGTTGTACCTCTGGCTTTAAAGTCGGTTTACAACGCAGAGGTATGTGAAGAAATGTAGGAGAAGGAAAAACTATTTGAGCAACTGTAAATTTCATTTGAACAAGGAGAAAGTGATATTGGACACTGATCTGGAGAAACAACAGTGTTTTAGCAAAGAATAAAACAGTTTCTCTGGAGACTTGGCTTTGGGACAGAGCTCAATGGCAGAGGATTTAAATGTGTTCAGATAAATAAACAGTGTGTAGTTATTTTTATGAACTCTTTTGAGTGTGTGTTTCTATGACTATCCTAAAACCCAGGTGTTTCCAAATATCCCTTTGAAAGTGGAAATCATGTGCCTTGCACATCCATTTATGCAGAGGGCTGGGTTAGACATGGCTGAGTTTGGACTGGGTTAATTTTCACTTGGCTATCCAACTGGGAATGGCACTGGGACCAGCAGCCACCTGCTCCCCTGGCTGGCTTTGAGAACAGCTCAGGGGTGGCTTGTGCTTCAGTGGGACTGAAACAGGTGCATGAAAAGGCAACACAGCAGATGTCAGATGGCTGGTGACCCCAAATTCAGTGGCTTGAATAGAGAGAGTCAGTAAGTTAACCAAGCTCAATCTGCCAATGCTTCCCACTTTCCTCAAGACTTCCAGCTGGTGAAAGGCAGCTCCCCTTGCTTGATCAAAGCACTGGCCTCCTCATCTGCTGTGCTTTATTTCCCTATTGTGAGTCTGTAAATGATAACAGAAGGTGCAGAACCACAGGGGAGCTGAGGTAAAGCAGCTGCAGGAAATATTAACTGAGCTACATCATAAAAGCAAGATCTGCTGCCAGGCACAAGAGGAACCTGTTGAGTGCAAGTGAGATTACATAAATATTGGTGATCACAAGAGGACGCAGTACCTTAACCAGAGCAAGAGCAGAAAATGTAAAGACCTTACTTGATTTTTCTTCTTTAATGTTGTACTCCAGCACAGCAGGAGCCTCGTTCTGCACTGGCAGGCGGACTGCAAGGACCATGTTGCTCACATTACCCTCTTTCCTAACTAAGAATATCTGAAAAAGGAGAAAAGAATCAAGAGCTCAGCTACATTATGTGAGCTTCTAAACTTCATTTTAGGTCATTGGCAATGTAGATTTTATCAGTACAATTCACCTTTAAATAGCCTTATTTTAGCTTCATTCCACTTAGCTATGCTTTTTACAACAAAAAATAATGGGGAAAAGGACATTTCATCTAAGTGAAATTCAGACCTGCCAAGGCACTCACAAAGTTTCTATGCATCACTGATATCCCACTTATGCCTAAAGCAAACTGTTTCACCAACTGAAGATTTAAAACTGCACTCCCAGTTTGTTAAGTGATGGTCCTCACACCAGTGCCCTAAATCACAGATGAGTCACCCCAGAATGTCCCAGTCGAGGTCTAAAGCAAGGGTGTCACTTGTACATTTAGTCAGTAAGGATTTGAGTGTCCATGAGAGGAGCATAAGGCCAAAGGCTCTGGTGGCCACAGTGCCCATGGCAGAGCTTTTTGTGGGACCAGAAGATCATTCAGCGTGGCAGGTATCCTGTGAGGACCCTTGTCCAACCCCCTGGGTGAAGCCATGAGGCCAGACCAAGTTTCTCAGGGATTTGTCTGTACCAGTCTGGAGAATGTCCGAAGCTGGAGACTGCCTAGCCTCTCTTGGCAACCTGTCCCACCACTGACTGTCCTCACAGGGACAAAATGTTCCCTGAACCCAGCCTGGACTGTCGCAGACATCTTTTCATTAATTAAAATAATTTCTTAGGATTTTTTCTTCCTGAGATGCTGAGAGGCTTCAGGGACAAAACGTAAACAATGATTATCTGCTGCTGTGGAATGCAACAGGTGCATCTGTGATTGGTTTCATGTGGATGTTTGGAATTAATGGCCAATCACAGTCAGCTGGCTTGGACACTGTCTGAGCCACAAACCTTTGTTATCATTCTTGCTTTTCTATTCCTAGCTAAGCCTTCTGATAAGAACTTTTTCTTCTATTCTTCTAGTATAGTTTTAATGTAATATATATAATAAAATAATAAATCAAGCCTTCTGAAAATTGGAGTCAGATCTCCATCACTTCCCTCATCTGAAAACCCCTGTGAACACCACCACACTGGACCCCTCTGGTTTCAATGTATCCTGTTGCCTCTTGTCCCCCCACCCTGCAGAGCTGAGCACAGCCTGCCTTCATGCCTTCATCTTCCCCATGAGCTCCCTGCAGGTGCCAGGGGTTGCTGTGTGGTTCCCTGAAGGTGTCTCCTGGCTGGACAAGCCCTGGTTCCACTGCCTGTCCCCAGTGGGTCTGTGCCCAGCTGGCTGGCCACCATCCCTACAGCTCCTTTCCCACAGAGCTGCTCCACCAAGAAAAAGGAAAAATGCCTCAATTTTTGTATTGTATGAGATCCTAAGTGTGTTTCTAATTAAAGCTCATTGTCAGGGATATTTTTAGCTTGTATCTTGAAGGTGCAGATGCAAAGACAAAATAATCTTCACATTCATCTGTTCTTTGATAGTAAGCTTAGGCAGAAAGGAGTCAAGGTATTTTTAAAAAACTGAATTAAAAAATCAAGCTAATTTTGTAGCCTGGATATTAATATTAGAAAGAGAAATATGAGTTGATAAAATCATTAATCAACTGTAATGTATGGAAATCTAGCAAAAGCCATTAATTTCTTGGGCAGAGGAATTTTAAAAAAGCTTGTCTAGAAGCCAGGACCTTTCCCTGCATGAGTGCCAGTCCTAAGGGCATCTCCAGTCCCTTTGAAGCGCCCATGCTGAACACACAGCTTTGGGGCTGCTTCACAAGCTCACACAGTGCTGTCATCTTGGCCTCTGAGCTCAGTAGAAATGCAGCCCCAGGGCCTCATGTCGACCATCAGGGCAGAGAAAATGCAAATAAATGCACAGGTGTGTGCCCCAAACAGGCTGATTTCTGCAGGGCAGCCCCACCTTCTGCTGCAGTGAATGTCTACAGGCAGGTGGCACCTGCAGGGAGAGGCTCTCCCTTGCCCAGGTCCCACCACCCGCATGGCACTGCTGTCCCTCTAACCAGCACCATCTTAGAGTGCTACATCTGAAATTTAATCTGAGCAACCAGGGAAATGAAACCTGGAAATGAATCACTTCTTTTTTCCTGATGGGCACGCCTGGTTGCCATGGATCCAGAGGCTAAAATTGGGCTCTGGCTGTTCAGAGAAGCAGGAGGTGGAATTTGTGAGCTGTGCTGAGCCCTGAGTGCTGTACTTCCCCTGGGTCAGGGCCAGTACTGAAATCAGTCTCTTCTATGCTCACCACAGGTGGGAATGGTGCTGCCCAGCCTCAGGTGGGCTCCCAGAGGGCAGGAGGTTCTGCCCTTGCCATGGACACCTCTGATGCACCAGCTCTTCTCCTGCTTGCTTCTGGCTGCAGCTGAAGGCTGTGCCCAAGGACAGCTGAGCAGCAGGAGCAGAGGCAGGATGCTCCCCCAAAGCCACTCAGAGGTGGGGAACTCCCTGCCTGCAGGGAATGGATAATGCCTGAGGGGGCTTGGGGCCATGCGTGGCTATCACAGACAGTCACACACATCTCCTCTTACAGACAGAGCAGAAAAACAAAGATCTTGCTCAATCTAATTGAGAAATCTGATTCAGGGTGAGGTGCACTGCACAGCCCAGGCTGCTCAGGTGAATCCCACTGGAGGGTGTCACTCAGCTGTGCCAGCATTTAGCCCTGGGATGGACTGACTTGGCCAAGGGACAGGTCCAAACATCCTCAGAGCAGGTGTGCCCTGACATACATTCAGGTCATTTACACCGTCCCTTCCCAAAGGATCCAGCCAGGACAGCTGCAGCCCGCTATGCCTCACCTCTCAGACCTCTCAGGAAAGGGGAGCAGCTCCCTTTGGCACAGAGCTGTTTTCCTTAAGCAAGCTTTGCACAAGTGCACAATTCTCTAATACTCAGTTTATGCAAACCAGATATCAATTGTGGCAATAAAAAATACTCCCAGCAGCTCCCTGAATCTAAGGTCCTTTCCTTCACAGATTTTTTTTTTTTTCATTGCTCCAGATCAGGAAAATCACCATACTTGTGGATATGGTGGTGAATGGGAAGCCATCTCCATGAATCTACATGGTAAGCAAATAAACCCAGAGACAATATTCCTTGTTTTCCCAAAGCCAATATATGTTTTGTGCTGTTGAGAGAGGTAAAGTGTCAAATGGTAATGAAAACAGAGAGCAGTCTGCTGAATATTTTTGCTTCCACATAAAAAAAAGCACTGCTCCCCTAACCAAGGACAGGAAATGTGGTTGTCTGAACTGAAATTGCTTTGGACTTACCCCTGCTGTTTCTTTGCCAAGGATCGCCCCAGCCCTTTCCTGGCTCATGTTCAGCTGCAGCCACACAGGACACGTCTTGATGAGTTTGTCAAGGATGCTGATCCCTGGGAGCTGGAGGCAATTTCGCACAGCACTGGCCTGACAGAGATGTGTCTCCTTCCCCTCTTCACTGGCATCTCTGACAGGGCTGAAACACAGCAAGGGAGTCCCTGGTAAGCAGAGCTGCAAACAGAAACCTGGGGGAGAGGACTCCCCAGCACAGACACGGGCACTCAGACATCAGGAATGCTCCTGGAGGGGCACCAGACCACCCCAGGCACCAAGGCTGTCATGCCAGCAGGCTGGCAGGGGGCTCTGTGCTGGCCCTGCTGGTTTGGGCTCACCCTTCAGTGCTGCTCAAGCACAGACACAGGTGAGGGATGCAGACACAGGTGAGGGATGCACAGACACGGGTAAGGGATGAACAGACACAGGTAAGGATGCACAGACACAGGTAAGGGATGCACAGATACAGGTAAGGATGCACAGACACAGGTGAGGGATGCACAGATACAGGTAAGGATGCACAGACACAGGTGAGGGATGCGCAGACACAGGTGAGGGATGCGCAGACACAGGTGAGGGATGCACAGGGGCAGTCAGGGACACAGAGGGTTGAGCATGCCTGTCCCCTGGGTGCCACCCTCCAGCTGAAGGGTCTGAGAGACGTTTCATGGCTTCAAAAGCAGCGATGCAGCAGAGGAGTCCCTGCAGTCTGTCACAGACACATTTTCTGAAAAATCCTTTCTTTAAGATTTTTTCTCCTGAGAATCTGGGAGGTCTAAGGAACAAAATGTAAACATTGATTATCTGCTGCTGTGGAATGCAACAGGTGGATCTGTGATTGGGCTCGTGTGGTTGTTTCTAACTAATGGCCAATCACAGTCAGCTGGCTTGGACTCTGTCCCAGACACAAGCTTTTGTTATTCTTTCTTTTTCTGTTCTTAGCTAGCCTTCTGATGAAATCCTTTCTTCTATTCTTTTAGTATAGTTTTAATATAATATATATCATAAAATAATAACTCAAGCCTTCTGAAAGATGGAGTCTGATCCTCATCTCTTCCCTCATCCTCCAACCTCGGTGAACACCGTCACAGCAGTCTAATGGCAGACTGGTGATAAATACTGTCTTCAAGCTCTGGTGCTGAGTTGACAATTTATCCATGTGCTTAGCTCTGCAGGCAGTGGAAATACTTGTGCTGAAAAGTCTGGTCACAAGAGCTCTACTGGATAAAGCCATGGACTCATGAGGATACAGGCTTGTCATTCATTTCATTAATTGATTTTGCATTTAAAGAAAATATAAGAGAGCATGCACAAAAATGTTTTGCTGCTCTAATGTTTCTGTTTAGAGGTCAGAACTGAAAACAGGACTCTCACTTTTGATTTGGTCTTACTTCAAATACTTTTCCTTTTTCTTTTATTTAAAAAGATATAGATCTTAAGGTACTACATTTCAAATAAGGTCAGTCTTAAACTACTAAAAGAGAGTCATTTCAAAGGCCTAACCTAACACAGCAGGTCTGTCCCAAAAGTCAGTTTGTGTAAAAATAGCCTTTCATATCCCAAAAGCAATACAAAGATTTTATTTTTTAGTAGTTTTTTTTCTTTTTCAACCCTTCATAGACAGCTTTCTCAGAAAATACAGGTGCCTTTATAATTCAGGTTGTAGATAAAGGTATTATTTCACAGAATCTTGATTTTAATCAATCCTTTTTTAAGATCATAGTCAAGACAGTAGGAATGAGAGAACTGTGCTTTATAAAAAGCAAATTGAAATATATGAAGCTCTACTTGTGATAAAAGCCCAGCTTGTCACAGAGGTGAGGGAATTTCTTTTAGATTTAACAGCATGTGATTTTAATCAATATCATCTGAACAAATCGAGCAAAACAGTGGAATATCCTTTTGGAAGTTACCCTGAGTCATCCCTTGGGGGTTTTTTAAAGATAAAACAACCAAAAAAAAGCCTTGTAACCATGTGAAGGGAAAACATGTGTTGGATGGCAATATTCATACTCAGTAATGGGAAAGAAGTAATGAATTGAAGGGAAAGTCGACATATAATGAAATGTTCCGTAACACAAAAATTGCTCCCCTAATTAGTCACAAAGACATGAACCTGATCACATCAGAATGATGTGTGAAACCTCAGTCAGAAGGAGGTCAATGCTGATAATGTCCCGCTGTGTCACCAGAAGGTGACACGTACAGCCATAGCTCCTGGCTGAGGAACTTTGTTAGCCATTAGTTATGTAAGGTGGGGCCAGCAAAGCACTGATATCCCATTGCCAGCAGGGAAATGAGGGTTATCAACAAAGCCAGGAAAGGGACACAAGCCAGCCTGGACCTGCTGAGCACCAGGCACACAGTGACCCTGGCACAGAGCTCCCCCAGAGCATCCATCCCTCTGCTCCCACCATGGGCACAACCTCTGAGAGCTCACAGCACCCGCTGGGCTTTGGCAACAAGAGCACACTGGCGAGGAAAAATAACAGAACTGACCTTCCAACTCATGTGGCTACATGTAGGGTCTGAATTTTGGAGAATGGATAGAAAATTGAAAATAATTCCAAGCTCAGACATACAAGATGAAAAAGTGAGAGCCTGAAGTGTTTGCCCTAATGGAAAATCTCATTATTTCAGTGTGTGGAGTCTTTCAGTGCAGCAAATTTAGGGCAGTGGATAAGGCTTTTTTTTTTTTTTTTTGGCAGAAGAGGCAGTCAAATATTTTGTGGGCCCTCGGGGATGAGGTATTCTCTCAAAAGCCAGACCAGCCTGGAAGGAGCTAAGCAGGCTCTTGTACCTGTAGAGAGGGAGGAAAGCACAGATGAGTGAAAGGGGAGACTGGCTAAAGGAGAGGCGGGAGGAGTCATTAAGGGGATCATATGGAATCAGGGGAATGTTTGGTGAGACGTTTCCTGCCAGTGAGTTATAAGAGATGATGGATAAATTCCCAAAAGAAGAGGCTTGCATTGCCCAAATCCCTTAAAATGCTGGGTTTGGAGCAGTAGCACACACTGTATTGACTCAAATCTGTGCTGGCTGAGGAAGGGCAGTGCCTGCCCCCCTGGCCTTGCTCAGCTGCAATGCCCTGAGCCGTGACACGCCGGCTGACGCAGTTACGGCACCAACGCTTGACTTCTGTCCTGGGCACAGCTGTCACAAAGATTTGGATGGGGCTGTGGGAATGCTTAATCCAGCAATTTAATCTGGCTCTGTGGGAGCTCTGTGGCTGCACAGGGAGGAGGGAGCCCAGGGCAGCTCCTGGGCTCTTGCTGTGCTGCCAGTTGAAGGGATTTCCAGGGCCGCCATGGTGAGCAGCCGGCCTTCCCAGCTTGCTCACTCAGAATTCATGCAACACAGGACTTCTAAAGCCTCAGTTTCAAAAATAACATAAAACTCTGTTCTTGTCCCACAGTCCTGCAAAACCCTTTGGCTGATAGAGGCAGGTGCTCACTTTGATAGGTGTGACGTGAAGGTGAAAAGCTGTCCCTAGAGCTGCCTGCTTTCTTTTCTTTTCTTTTATTGAGTTCTTCCTGCAAAGTACATTTGAATCTCGAAGTGGTTCTGCTAAATTGGATTCAGCTGGGAAGCAGGGAGCTGTGTGCTGCATACTGATTGGCAGCACAGGCTAATTAATTGCACAGTGATTACATCCACACACCTGCCCCGGGCTTGCAGCAGGTATCCGGTTGCTTGTTGGAGGCAATAATAATGACAATGGTGGTTTGAATTATTGCACAGTGACTGTACACTGCAGTAATGACCACCATGACTCACTGCTTTAAAAACCTGGAGCCACACTTGCCAGCTGAATATTCCCAGAAGTCAGCAGACCAGCAAGGAGATATAATCCACTGAATTTTGTGCAGGTGAAGGCCTGAGCATACCTTTGCAAGGGGTTTCAAAAATATTGTTACAATCTTGCTGACACTAAGGGCTTCCTGGCTGGATTGTATGTGGCTGGTCACTCTGAGTTTCCCTGAGGCAGCTGAGACACACAGCAATTGTGTGAAACAGCAGCAGGGACTGCCAGATTAATTCTTCACTCTGCACATTTGCTCTGAGAAGAGACATAACATATTTTTAAAATTAAATCGTAAATTGTCAATCAAATGCTCTATAGTGCACTGATAAGTAATGGCAGAGTGCCTTAGTATTGTTTAAGCAGACCAGATTTAAGAATTAGGAGCTAGTCTTTTATTATTATGTTTTATTGCTTTTGCTTCTCCCTCTGAAAATGAGAAGACATCAAGAAAGAGCAAGGGTTTGCTGTGCTGTCCTCAAGGAGGGAGATCCAGTGGTATATAAATATTCATAGCAGAGCAGGAGCCACAGGTCTTAAAATGTGCGTGAGCTGGCTTGATACTGAGGGAGAAATACAGACACAACCTGCATGTGCCAGGTGATAGAGCAGCTTTCTGCACCAGAGCTACCTGGTACCTGAAGGGACACTATTGGGGATAAACCAGCTTGGGACTGAGGCTGACATGTGGAAACCCTTCAAGCCCAGGGGTTATAAGGGGCACTTGAAGCAGGAGGAAAAGATGGAAGCTGCTGAAGCCAACAGAGCAGCCCTGATGGAAATTGATAGGCAGTGCTGTTAATTCCTGTGGTTAAAAAAGAGAGAGCTGGGAGCATGGGGATTCATGGAGATGGGTGAGACTGACAGAGCACTCACAGGGCTGGTTTACATCCAGTGTCACAGCCAACCCAGCTGGACCCAACTGCAGGGCTCTGTGCCACTGGCAATACAGACAGATCTTTATATCCTTTTTTTTTGTGGTCACCTTCTTTCCTTACAGGAATAATTGGAGTTACATGAACAGCAAGTACAAGGTTTCACCCACTGCAAGAAACAGAGCTGCCAATGCTTTCTTTGGTTTGGTATCACTTCTGATTAGACAGGTGTTGAGGAACACATTGAATGGAGGTAGCTTGGTGTCCAAACTGCACAGACTTATTAAACATCTTTGTTCAGGGACATGTGAATTCATGTGCTGCTACTTTCAGTTCACTGTGAGGGACATTATGCAGTGCCACAGCCAGAGGACATCAAGCTTCATTTTGCTTCCATCCTTAGAAATGGCCAATTTTTGATACCATGTACTTACACTCATAAGCCAGCCCATCTTTGATCACTTC